AACTGCAATAAAAATTAAAGTTCATGGTGAAATTGGCGTAAAAGTCAAATTGGAGTGAAATTGCAACAAAATCTAAAGTTCAAGGTGAAACAATGTGTTAAGCGAGTTATTTTTATGCTACTATAACATAAGGTTTATATTTGGTAGGTATCGCTAGGTTGATTGTCCACCGGTTGTTGGTTTACTAAACCACTTAAGTTGGCTCTTAAGCCATTAGTTTTGATTCCAACGATTTACGATTCTAGCCATAGTTCCAACATTTCGTATTTTTTCTCTAAAAAAAGTTTAATGGGAATTCAATTTCGCTTAAATATTTTTTCAGAAAAAAATTAATGAGAATTTGAAAAATGCTTATAATTTTACTTCAAATAATTATTTAAGAAATTTATACAAGAAAAAAAAAATCGTCAACTTTGTAAATAAATTTTTAGAAAAATTGACAAGGAAAATTTTCATTAGCCTTACAATTTTCTTTTTTAAAAAGTAAGCAGGGATATTATTGTCTGGTTTAACATTTCATGTAGATTTACGCTCGGCTAGGTATTGTCTGAACTTGACTTAGCTTAGTCGAAACCTAAAATATACCTAAATTCAAGGCTTTTGAGGATCTTAATACTTCTAAACTGTTGGTACATTTGCATGCGTATGTCCTGCCGAAACCCCAATTGCATTTATTGGATGTTGACGATGGACTGTCTCATGACCTTAAAGATCTATCTCACCATACTAGAGTACTTGGCATGATTTTCATCCGCCATCTAAGCGCAAATAGCTTAAGGTCTATTCCAGCTAGTACAAGATTGATTCTTGGACCGGTGGTCCGAACATACTCATTCCCTAGCATGGTTTTGTTGTCAAGGAGTGGGGCAAGGATGTGTTCTTGTACCAAATCACCCATTGGAAAGATATGCGGTCTGTGCTTGAGAATGAGCCACGGCATTTTGAGAGGAATATTCTCGTTTTGAAGAAAGTTGAGGGTACTGAGCAACCATCAACCATAAAATTTTCTCACTCATCTATGGGTTCAAGCATATGACTTCCCACTACGATGTATGACGGAGTCAGTAACTAAGCTTATTAATGGGAAGATTGATTTGTTTTTGGATTGGTTTAAGGATGATGACAAGGGTTAGGGAAAGTTCATTCGATTTAGAGTCTTTGTTGATCTTTCTAAAGCTCTCCTTAGGGGTACATCTATCAAGTTCATGGGAAACACTATATAGGTACCTTTAAAGTATGAAGGCTTACCTACCTTCTATTATACATGTGGTAGGTGTGGCCATTCATTTAAGCAATATGATGACTTTGAGACTACTACAGTTGATGACTCAATATTGATGTTTTATAGTGATAGTTTGAGGGTGTCCCCTTTGCAATAATATTGAATCCCTTATGGCTTAATCGGAAAGAGAGAGGGGGGGGGGGGGGGGGGGGGGGTTTTGAGACTCTACAAGTTGATGACTCAATATTGATATGTTTTATAGTGAATAGTTTGAGGGGTGTCCGCCTTTGCAATTAATTTGGGGGGGGGAAAAAATCCCCCCCCCTTTATGCCGGCTTACAATCGGAAACGAGACGAGGGGGGGGGGGGGGGGTGGTGTGGTGGGGGGTCTTGGGTGGGGTCTGGGTTTTAAGAATTTACATTGCTTCAATTTGGCAATGCTTGCAAGGCAATGTTGGCGATTGGCTACAGACCATTCGCCATTATTAGCTAAATTCTTAAAATCAAGATATTATCCAAATAACTTTTTTATGGATGTAAAAATTGGGATACAGATTGAGTTTTTCATGCAGAAGTCTGATGGAGGCAAGATGATTAATTCAAAAGGGTTCTCGACGGATTATTGGAAATGGTAGAGGGGTTTGAACATGGAAGGACAATTGGTCACCGAGGCAACCGCAATTTCGTGTTCATTCGGCCCCTGCTATACTTGACGCTAATGCTACAGTTCAGGACCTTCTTCTTCCTAAAACGGGTTATTGGGATATTACCCTTGTTGAGTTTCCTTTCGAACCTCATAAAGCTACGGAGATTTGTGTATTCCTCCAAGTCCAAATCGGGATTTTGACCTCCTCACATGGCCAAGCACTAGACATGGCCTTTACTCTGTTAAAACTGCTTATCACATTGCTTTTCATTCAAAAATTTTGTGCGACATTGCTAGCTCATTCGTGCTTTCAAATAACTCCTTTTGGAAGCTCCTTTGGAAACAAAATGTTCCGCCTCAAGTTAAACACGTTATGATTCGAGTTTGTCAAAATTTACTCCCAACTAAAGTGGAACTGATTTGGCTGAAAACTGATGTGGATTCTGTTTGTGATTGGTATGGAGAGGAGGAAGAAACAACACTTCATATGCTCGTTAACTGCCCAAAATATCAATAAATTTGGCTTTTGTGCCCACTGAGACTAAGGCCATCTTCGAAAGCAGGGTCGGCGTTGGAGTGGATCAAGTCAATTTCTACAAATTTTCAGCCTGAGCAGATGGAAATTTCGTATATGATATCCTGGTCTATTTCGAGGGAGAGGAACGTGCTACTGCTCCAACAAAAGAAGCTCAATGAAGTGCAGGTAGTGGGATAAGCTTTGTCTCTATGGTCTGATTACAAGGGACAGCAACAGGGCCAATCGGGTAGCAGCTCTGTTGGTAGGAATGTTTGGTGGAAGGTAATTTTAAAGTGAATGGTGATGCTACGCTTGGTGCTGATGGGAGAATTGGCTTTGGAATTATTATAAGAAACTCAAGTGGTGATATAGTGGCTAGTGGCTCTCACAACTGATGGGAGAATTGGCTTTGGAATTATTATAAGAAACTCAAGTGGTGATATAGTGGCTAGTGGCTCTCACAAGTGTTCTCATGTGCTTTCGCCGGAAGAAGCCGAAATAGAGGCTGTCTCTTTTGCTATCTCAAAGGCCTTGGAGCTAGGAGTCAGAGCTATTGAGATAGAATCAGATTGTCAATCCTTGGTATTCAGCTTACGGAATAGAACTGTTGCATGCTCTTGAATCAGTGTGACTCCATTTTAATTTCACATGTAGTTAGGAAGGATACAAAAGTAGCTCAGGATACAAAAGGTACTTCATTCATATAGCAAAAATTAAAGTTTCTTTCGCCTTGAGATTTGGAAGAGCAAAATCTAGATAGAATGAGGGTACGCATCTTCTAATCCAATCCACTGGTTTTCAAGTAATGAACTTTTGATTATTAGTCCTCAAAAAAAAAAAAAAAAAAAAGCTAACAGTTTTTAAAAAAAAAAAAAAAAAAAGCTACAGTTTATTACAATCCTAAGTAACTGTGGTTTTCAAAAGTTAGCGGTTGCGTTCAATTTACAAAATTTGAAAAAAATTAAATTAAAAATTTGAAAAAATTAAATTATTAAGTATATTTATGATTTTAGGGTCTAAACTCTAAACCTATTCATAGAAGCATTTGATACATACATACATATATACATACGATCGATAAGAAGACTACATTGATATTGAATTGAATCAATTCGGTTCAACTAAATTTTTTTATTTTTTTACTTAATATAAAAAATTAAAATTATAGTCATAAACAGTTTTACACCAAAAAAAGTACTAATACAATTGTAAATGTAGAATCATTTGTCATAACGATAATAATATTTTCACATCAAGCATCAGCAAATTTTTTAGAAAGAATATACTACAAATAATTCTAATATAAATTAAAAATAAATATACAAATATAAAAAATAAATCATAATGGTAATCTAATTTATTGGATTCCTAATTGAAATTCCTTATTAAATTAATATTTCTAATTGAGATAATAATACCAATTATTATAACTATTATTCTACATAATAATAAATATATGTTAAACGAATCAATAATATTTTTTAACTTTTTAATGCAACCTCCATAGCTATATGTAGGATTGTCAAAATAAAGAAAAGATAATTTTTTTTGATTTAATTTTCTTTTTTTAAGTATATTCCTGCGTAAAATAGAATTTTTATTTTGATGGGAAACCAAAATAACCAACCAAATCAAAAAAAAAAATAAAATAAAATAAAATGATAATATTTTATTTTATTTTTAAACTATCAATATAGCATAGCTTTTAATGGAATTCACTTCTTGCTTGCTTATATTAAAAAAAAAAAAAAAAAAAAAAAAAAAAAAAAAAAAAAAAAAAAAAAAAAAAAAAAAAAAAAAAAAAAAAAAAAGGAATGGTAAGCCTTTTTCAACCAAAAACGAAAACCTGTATGAAGAACAAGTATTTATCAACCTGTGTAACTAGTCATACTGAAGAGCCACTCATTTATCAACCATTTTGCAAACCAAGGCCCAGTTTTTGTGCTTGTTTAATGTCGATTTCGATGCAGAAGGTTATGCAACTCAATCACACTAGGTATAATTTTAACAACCAAAATACTAATCGAAATAAAACAGAGCAGTAGTGTTTGGTGGACCTGAACTCATGAAGAATGAGAGTTGAAAAGGATCACCTGACTGTCAAGCGATGAGTATGTTTGCTTTATTACTGAGTTTTCTTTATGTATGCATAAATAATGAATTCTTCAACTAACACAGGAAGAATTGCAGAAGTCTGATACAAATATTGAATTGCAAAAAATACTGAATTCAACCATCATTTAAAGATTGAATTGCAGAAAATAGAACATGTTTTCGAGACAAATTGCCTAGAATATGACAAAACCTCTTGCAACAGATATAAAGCAGTTTTTTCTATCCCAAAATTCTCACTTCAGTTACCTGAGAATGTTTAGAGAGCCTACGCAATTTTGCACCAAGAGGGATTCATCAGCTTGTTCAAACTAAATTCAATTTACCAACTCCGTGTAGTGGCATCCAGCGAGAGAACCCTGCCAACATTTCATCAATAGTTGGTTTTGCCATGGACGATCAATTACTGCCGGAGACATCTTGGGATAAATCACGTTTAAGAGCAACTACTTTGGCAAGCAAAACCATTACCCTTCATTTCCTGAACACCTTGAATGCTTCATTCATCTAGTAATCTTTTTTTCTTTACAATCTTTACAAAGTCCATTGATCATTATATTGTATGTGAAATCATCAGGCTGCAACCCTTCTATGGAAAGTCTAGAAAACAGTTCCTTTGCATCTTCAACTTTTCCAACTTTGAACATACCATTAATTAAGGTATTATAGACAATAAGATCAGGCTTCAATAAATTATTTTGCATTTGATGAAATAGGGTCAACGCCATATCTAGACACCGATGCTTACAGAAGCCATCGATCAAACTCGAGTAAGTTACCACATCTGGAGAATGGCCACTAGCACACAAGGTTTTAAAAAACTTATATGCAGCCTGAGGGCTCTTTGCTTTACACAAGCCACCTATAAGAGAACCATAAGTGACATGATCAGGAATCAATCCTTTGCAAGACATTTCATCAAGAAGCCTCATCGCTTCATCTATCCTTTTTCTCCTACAGTAACAGTCAATCAACATACTGTAGGTAACAGCATTAGGTGTATCGCCCTTGCTTAGCATCATGTCAAAAACTTCCCTAGCTTGATCCATTTTGTTGAGTAGACAATATCCATCCATCAAAGAGTTATAAATCACAACATTAGGCTTTATTCCTCTTTGAATCATCCATTTGACTATGCCATGAGCTTTAGAAACCCTTCCTTCTTTACAAAGTCCATCAACCAATATTTTGAAGGTAATTAAATCTGGAGTGATGTTTGCTTCCAACATTTCATTGATGTTTTGCTATCCAACATTTTCTTGAGCTGTTATTAGAAGGCTTCTCCCCAATCGGACCTGATTGCACAGGACCGTGGATAAAGAGTTGTAAGTTCACCAACATCAGGCTTTTATCCTCTTTGAATTCTATTCCTCTTTGAATCATCCATTTGACTATACCATGAGCCTTTGCAACCCTTCCTTCCTTACAAAGTCCATCAACCAATATGTTGAAGGTAATTAAATTTGGTGCGATGCTCGCTTTCAACATTTCATCGAGCTGCATAGAAGCTTCTTCCCATCGGCCTGAATTGCACAGACCATAGATTAAAGAGCTGTAAGTCACAACATTAGGCTTTATTTCTCTCTGAATCATCAATTTGACAATACCACAAGCCTTTGAAACCATTCCACACTTACAAAGACCATCAACCAATATATTGAAGGTAATTTGATCTGGCCTGATGTCGGCTTTCAACATTTTGAAGAAGAGCTCTAATGCCTCAGTCACCAATCTATCCTTAAAAAGGCTGTCAATGATAGCAGTAAATGACACCACATCAGGTTCACAACCTTCCTCGACCATTCTTTTCAGAATACCCAAGGCCACATTGGTTTTTCCAATTTTACACAGACCATTCACAATCACGTTATAGCTATAGACATCAGGTTTATACCCTTTTGCAACGATTTCATCAAATAATTCCACAGCTTCATCAAATCTATCATCTCTACAAAGCCCATGGATCAATGTAGTAAGCGTTGTAATGGTAGGCTGAAAACCAAGTTTGAAGATTTTCCCCAAAAGAGAGAACCCAAAATCCACGCGGTCCAGATGGCAAAAGCAATTAGTCAAAATATTTATACAACAGATATCGAGTGAAATTCCAAACAATTCCATCTGTTTGTAAAGAGAAATTACAGTCTCATAACGTTTCATTCGAACAAGTGCAGATAATAATTTATTAAATTCCACAATAGATGGTGAGGGACAAACAATTCCATCTGTTTGTAAAGAGAAATTACAGTCTCATAACGTTTCATTCGAACAAGTGCAGATAATAATTTATTAAATTCCACAATAGATGGTGAGGGATTACTATGAAGCATCAACTGGAAAGAAGCCAAAGCTTCATCAATGTTATCGAATGAATAAGATTTGCTTTTACCTCTGGCGTGTGTACTGGTAGAACTAGTATAAGAAACCGAATCAAAAAAACCCAATAGCCGATGAAGCCGAAAATTAGTAAGGCATCTGCTGGTGGTTGAGAGCATCTTGGATAATATTATGAAATTAAAGCGAAAGACCCAATCTTGGATAGAGCCTTTGGGACAAATTTGATAATGGCGTGAAGGGATTTGGTCTCATTTAGACTCGCCCATTTACAAAGAGGACGAAGAAAATATGTCTACGGAAGAGAGAAGGTAAGAAATGGGCTGACACAAGTATTAGGATTATCAGATCCAATGAAGGTATATCCAATTAAATATGGATCAAATATGTATATAATTTCATCAATTATTTTATTAATTATTATTGTTTTTTAAAAATATTTTAGGTTGACAATAAAATTGTATTGTTAAAAAATTTATAATAAAATTGTGCCAACTAAACAAAATCAAACATATATAGATTTTCAATTGAAAAATATATTTGAATTTGTTTGATAACACAAATATTTACATTTGCTATCAAACTGTACAGATACTATTACGGTTATTATAAAGTATATGTATATGATAATGACAATATAATATTTATAATATTGTCTACAAGTTAAATTATTATTTATAAAGTCAATAAATATAAAATATCATATATAAACTTTTATTATAAAATGTTAAATTCTATTATATCATGACACAACTTCAAAATTATATTTATAAATATATAATTTATGATAATTAACTGCACATTGTGCTCGTATTAATCTAATTTAATTATTATTATTTTTTCTTTTTTATAAAGTAAACTTTTTGTAGTTATTATATTTATTTTTTAACCAAAATCCAATATATGATTCAATCTCGATCTAAATCTGAATTTGATCCAATTAATTAGGGGGCAGATATCCCATGGATATTATATGATAATCAAATGTAAATCATGGCCCATAAACATAACAATCACAATACGAACGTCACATAATATAATAAAAATAAAAATTCAACAGAATTCTCACATAGGAAATTATATATTTCATTAAAACTAATAAATAAGTATCTTAGAAAAACCTGCTAAGTGCAGAGTTCAACTAAAATTAAAATATAATCTTTATTATATTAATACTAAACACATTGAAAGAACAAGTACCGAAAAGAAATTAATTAAAATACAATTATATTATATTAATACTAGCCACATTAAAAGAACAAGTACTGAAAAGAAATTATTATATTCTGAGCTCTGTGGTTGAAGGAAACAGAGCTATAGCAAAAGTAAGGAAAAAAACTGCTTCCTGAAAAATTAATTAAAACTGTAACGAGTATGTCAATTCAGTAAAAAATAATAAATAATATAAAACTCATAAAATTACATGACATGTTCCAATTTGAAAATGAACACGCTGTCAATCCAGCAATACACAACAATAGCATATACAAACAATAAGATCTTCACATAATCACAACAAGTGAAAGTTAGCCTGTGGCGTCGCCGTATCCCCCTGTGGACCATATTCACATATGACCTATCCTCGCTTCATGTGTGCGTCAAGAAGCTTATCCACTATACATGGCCTATTAGTCTCACCCTCAAGAGACATTTTCCAAATATTCCATATTAAATATTATTCGATAGCAAAACCAAAATTTATTAATAGCAAAAATAAATAAATTATTGATAAGCAAAAGCAATTAAAACTATATATAGTGATATGACATGACAAAACTTTTCCACAATAGAATTCAAGTTCCTAATTAGAATTAAACAAAACTTCTCAATCATTCCTAATATATAGTTGATTTAATATATTTATAATATTAAAATAATATAATTTATAGTATATAAAATAATATGTTATCAACTTACCCTTAATAGAATTTATTGTAAATAAATATATATCAACTTGTCCTTAATAGAACATATTTATTTGAATAAATATTAATTATTTATATATACTAATCAAACGTAATAAAAAACTTTAGTAATAAATTAATATCATAGATGCAAATCATAAATAGTAATAAAATAATATCAATTTGATACAGCTAATTATATTCTTATCACATGTTTATTATATTTAAATAGGAAAATTAATAACCAATTAAATTAAATTATCTTTATTTTTTTCAACAAATAGAATCAGTACATAAATTTAGTAGGCATATATACTGACTAAAGAATTTATATTTAAATAGAAAAACTGATAATCAATCAAAATTAAATTACCTTTATTTTTTCAACCATTAAAATTAAAAATTTTCAAAATATTTTCAACCTAGTATGGACATTTTGGAAACAAATGTTCCCTCTACCATACTTTTACATACACTATAATAAATTACAACAAAATGAAATTCATAAAAATAATCAAATCAAGAGCATAGAAAAGTTACCTATACCAACATTCAAAGAAATGATTTTTATTGCTGTCTTTTGAAGTAAAATTAACAGAAAAAATGTTAATTTTTTTACGGAAGAACCAGAAAGTCAGACGGAGTCATACATGAGAATTGTGGAATAATTTATATAAGCAGCAAAGACGAAGTCATATATTTTGTAAAACTTCAGAGACCCAAAAATAATTTTTCCAAAAATATAGTTTTTTCTTTTTTATCTCTCTTCTAAATAAAATATTATGTACATTGTATTTGAAAATTTATTTCTTCAAAAATATCTCCAATCAAATCATATGAATATAAAAAAAAAAAGAATATACTTTTTTCTCGTCTTATCTCTTTTCTAAATAAAATATTTTAAATTATAATCAAAATAAAATCAAAACTTTTAAAAATAAAATATAAAATTTTCAAATGTCACTTTATCATATATATTTATTAAAAAATAAATTAACTTTTAAAAAAATAAATATAAAATTTTCAAAATGTCACTTTATCATATATATTTATTAAAAAAATACAATTTTTAAAAAAAAATTAAAACTTAAAATTTTATATTTATTAAAAAATAAATTTTAAAAAAAAATTAAAACTTAAAATTTTGAAATTCTTTCTTTCAAAAAAAAATTTTGGAATTCTTAATTATTGATATGTATTTATTTAAAAAATAATTTTTATAAATTATATCTAATCAACTAATAAAATGTAATTTTTTAATTGGCTATGAAGAAGATTATTTTAGAATATTTCGAATTTCATTAAAGGCGATATCGAAAATCTTATTATCCCCTTCTATTTTCCCACTTATATATATAGTATAGATTATTGATAATTATGTTAATATGTATTTATTCCACTGAATGATCACTTTATGAATTGCTTCTACCTATTAGATTTTCTAGATTTGCCTCTAGTTAAAATGATGTTTAGAGTTTATTTTAATGTACGTGAAGTATAAATTGTGCTAAAATGACCTTGGGTCATTTGGTTATTTTTATGCTACTATAATATAAAGTTTATATTTGGTAGATGTCGCTAATTTGATGATCCACCAGTTTTTGGTTTACTAAACCACTTAAATTACTCTTAAACTGTCAGTTTTGATTCTAGAAATTTACGGTCCTAGCCACAGTTCCAGCTTTATGTATTTTTCATAAAAAAAAAATTTAATGGGAATTCAGCTTTGCTTAAATATTTTTTTCAGAAAAAAATTAATGAGAATTTGAAAAATGCTAATAATTTTACTTCCAATAATTATTAAGATACTTATATAAGAAAAAAAATTCTTCGACTTTGCAAATAAATTTCTAGAACAATTGACAAGAAAATATTTCATTAGCCTTATAATTTTTTTGAAAAAAGTAAGCAAGGTCTGGTTTAACATTTCATATAGATTTACGTTCGGCTAGGTATTGTTTGAGTTTGACTGAGCTTATTCGAAACCTAAAATATATCTAAATTCGGGGCTTTTGCGGATCTAAATACTCCTAAAGTACTGTTACATTTGTTTGCATATGTCCTAACGAAACTCCTGTTACATCTGCTGGCTGTTGACGATGGATTGTCTTATGACCTTAAAGCTCTAATTCACCATACTAGAGTACTTGGCATGATTTTCCTCCACTATTTGGGCGCAAATATCTTAAGGTCTGTTCTGGCAATTACAAGATTGATTATTGGACCAGGGTCTGAACATACTCATTCCCTTGTTCAAAGTTTTAGATGAAACTTACCATTGATTTCTTTATTATAAAATTACGATCAAATGTTTTTTTATAGAGTTTTCCCTAGATCATTTGGATCGTGGCTCTTTTGGTTGTTTTTAACCATTTAAGATATTGATTTTCACTAATTTGATGTGTCCTACTTAGCATGCTAAAATGTTGTTTACTAAAAATATAAGTACTTCGGTCAAAGTAATATTAAAATCAAGAGACTGCGAAGGGATTGTCAGACTAGTTTCTCTATTGTCAAAATGGGCCTCTAGAAATATATAGATTTCAAAAAACCATTAATTTGAATTGGTGATGTATATGTATATGTCGTTAATCCTAAGGAAAACACAAGGGATACAAAGAGAAGGAGATTGAGAAGTATTAGAGAGAAATTGAGGTTTAATGAGAAAAATTAAAACATAAAAAGGTTATATATTTGGTTTGCGTCCCCCTTTATAATATTTTCAGAGTTATTTATATGGTCATGGTATAATAAATTAGGCTACAAATATGTTCGACTATAGCACAATGTATTAGGTTAGAAATTAGATAAGTATAACACTACAAAAAAAATGCCAAATTGCGATCCATTTTTGCGACCAACTAAAATCGGTCGCCATTTTGCGACCGATTTGCGACCCCAGGACAAACGGTGGCAGATTTTAGTGCTGAAAATTTCCGCGAGTTTGGTTTTCAGTTTGCAACCCCTGTACTATGGATTTGCGATCGATTTTGTGACCGATTTGCGACTAAGTATATGTCCGTCGCAAAATTGCACGCTTCAAAATTAGGAATAAGTTCTGAGACTGATTGGCGACAAAATTGCGATCGATTATTTGCAACCGACCTTTTGAGTCGCAAATCGGTCGCAATTTTGTCCCGAAGTAAAATGACGTCGCAGTGTTAAAAATTGCGACCGATATTAATGAAATTTGCGACCGATACGTCGGTCACAAAATTTAGGGCTTTAAACGCCAGACGCCCTCCTTTTTTTTTTCTTCTTCTTTCTTTTTTCTCCTTCTCCTCTCCTGTGTCCGCAGCGCCGCTCCAGCCCCTCCTGACGCCGCTCCAGCCCACCTGAATTGTTTAATATTAATAAATTTTGCCGGCAAATAGAGTAATCGCTGATCAGTGCTAAAGATAGATAGATAGGGTTGACGTTGACCTTGTCTT